GGAAAAGCAGTACTGGGATACAATCTCCAAAATGACAGATTGATCTCGGTTCAAATCCAAGGCAAACCATTCAGCATCACAGTAGTCCAAGTCTATGCCCCAACCACTGGTGCTGAAGAGGCTGAAGTTGACCAGTTCTATGAAGGCCTACAACACCTTCTAGAATTAACACCAAAAAATGATGTCCTTATCATCATGGGGGATTGGAATGCGAAAGTAGGAAGCCAAAAGATAACTGAAATAACAGGCAAGTTTGGCCTTGGAGTACAAAATGAAGCAGGGCACAGGCTGGTAGAATTTTGTCAAGAGAATATGATGGTCATAGCAAACACTCTTTTTCAACAACCCAAGAGATGACTCTACACATGGACATCACCAGACGGTCAACACAGAAAACAGATTGACTATGTGCTCTGCAGCCAAAGATGGAGAAGCTCTATACAGTCAGTAAAAACTAGACCAGGAGCTGACTGTGGCTCAGATCATGAGCTTCTCATTGCAAACTTTAGGCTTAAATTGAAAAAAGTAAGGAAATGCACTAGGCCATTCAGGTATGGCCTAAATCAGTGGTGGCGAACCTGTGGCACCCATGCCACATCAGGCATGCATAGCCCTTTCTGTTGGCACGTGAGCCAAGTCACCCCAGCATCACCCCAGCAGCTAAACATGGGATAACAGTGCACACAGGGGCCATGTGCATGCTTGGAAACGAGTTGCGGCACCAGATGATGACATCACAAGCTGTGACTTGTTAGCCACAACTCGTATGAGCTTTCTCATGGCCGGTGAGTGCGCTGCCAGGGAGAGAGAGAGAGAGAGATTTGCTTAGTCTGGCTGTGAGGTGTTTTTTTCTAAATTAAAACCTCAGTTTTTTATTGTGTTTAGAATGGGCAGAAATGATGAGCTGTGCAGAAAAAGTTACTCAAGAAAGGCCTTTTCAATGGTATTTTAGCCCTATATTAGGGTTAGGGGTGTGCACCAGGGTTAGGGTTAGAAAAACAAGGTGTCCTGGCATGATTTTGATGGTTGGAATGTGTTTAGGATGAGCAGAAATGAGGAGCAGTGCAGAAAAAGCTACTCAAGGAAGGCTTTTTCAAAATCACCCCTTTCAATAGCATTTTACCACTATATTAGGACTAGGGGAGCGCACCACAGTAAGGTTAGGGCAGTGGTGGTGAACCTATGGCATGCCAGCCAAGTCATGTCAGCATTGCCCTAGCAGCCGAGCATCAGGTAACAGCGCACATAGGGGCCATGCGCATGCTCAGAAAAGGGTAGCGGTGCCAGGCAATGATGTCACAAGCCATGACTCATTAGCCACAACTTTTCCGAGTTTTCACATGGCCGCCAAGTGTGTGTGTGTGTGTCTGTATTTGCTTGGACTGGCTGTGAGTTGTTTTTTTCTAAACTAAAACTGCAGTTTTCAGGTTTTATTGCAGTGTAGGCACGTTGTGATAAATAAGTGTGCTTTGGGTTGCATTTTGGGCACTCAGTCTCTAATAGGTTTGCCATCACTGACCTAAATTATATTTCTTATGAATATACAGTAGAGGTGACAAATAGATTTAAGGAATCAGAACTGATAGAGTGCCTGAAGAACTATGGACAGAGGTTCGCAACATTGTACAAGAGGTAGCAACAAAAACTATCCCAAAGAAAAAGAAATGCAAGAAAGCAAAATGGCTGTCTGAGGAAGCTTTACAAATAGCTGAGGAAAGAAGGGAAGCACGAAAGGCAAGGGAGAAAGGGATACACCCAATTGAATGCAGAATTACACAGAATAGCTAGAAGAGATAAGAATGCCTTCTTAAATGAACAGTGCAAAGAAATAGAAGAAAACAATAGAATAGGGAGGACCAGAGATCTCTTCAAGAAAATTGGAGATATGAAGGGAACGTTTCATGCAAAGATGGGCATGATAAAGGACCAAAATGGCAGGGACCTAACAGAGGCAGAAGAGATTAAGAAGAGGTGGCAAGACTACACAGAAGAACTATACAAGAAAGAGCTTAACGTCCCTGATAACCACAATGGGGTGGTCACTGACCTCGAGCCAGACATCCTGGAATGTGAAGTCAAATGGGCCTTAGGAAGTCTGGCCAACAACAAAGCTAGTGGAGAAGACAGTATTCCATCTGAGTTATTCAGAATCCTAAAGGTGAAACAGTTAAAGTGCTGCAATCAATATGCCAGCAAATTTGGAAAACTCAGCAGTGGCCACAGGATTGGAAAAGGTCAGTTTACATTCCAATTCCAAAGAAGGGCAATGCCAAAGAAAGTTCATACTACCACACCACTGCACTCATTTCACATGCCTGCAAAGTTATGCTCAAAATCCTACAAGCTAGGCTTCGGCAGTATGTGGACCGAGAACTACCAGAAGTACAGGCAGGGTTTCAAAGAGGCAGAGGAACTAGAGATCAAATTGCCAACATACGCTGGATCATGGAGAAGGCTAGGGAGTTCCAGAAAAACATCTACTTCTGCTTCATTGACTGTGCTAAAGCCTTTGATTGTGTGGATCACAACCAATTGTGGCAAGTTCTTTAAGAGATGGGAGTACCAGACCATCTTATTTGTCTCTTGAGAAACCTGTATGTGGGTCAAGAAGCAACAGTGAGAACTGGAGACAGAACCACTGATAAGTTCAAATTGGGAAAGGAGTACAGCAAGGCTGTATATTGTTGCCCTGCCTATTTTAACTTATAGTCAGAGCGCATCATAAGAAAGGTGGGGCTAGATGAATCACAAGTTGGAATTAAGATTGCTGGGAGAAATATCAACAACCTCAGATATGCAGATGATACCACTCTAATGGCAGAAACTGAAGATATGCAAGAAGATCAAACCAGTCAGTCTTAGAGGAGATCAATCCTGACTGCTCTTTAGAAGGCCAGATACTGAAGATAAAACTCAAATACTTTGGCCACCTAATGAGAAAGGACTCACTGGAGAAGACCCTAATGCTGGGAACAAGTGACGGCAAAAGAAGAAGGGGACGGCAGAAGATGAGGTGGCTAGATGGAGTCATTGAAGCAGTTGGTGTGAGCTTAGGTGGACTCCAGGGGATGGTGGAGGGCAGGAGAGCCTGGAGGAATGTTGTGCATGGGATCATGATGGGTTGGACACGACTTCACGACTGACATGACATACGATATTCACTATACTAATTTCCTGATCTGTCAATACACCTATCTGTTCCCTGGTCCATTTTCTAGCATCCCTATCTTTTCATTGCCTCCCTATGAATCTGATTCATAGCATAATGGATGCTATTCTCCAGCATAATGGATGCTGGAGCCATGATTAATGGCCACTGTTTGTTAGACCTGAACTAGCTGGAACGGGTCTGGTGATGGCTTCTTGCATACCAGCCATCAACAATCTGTCAAACTTCTCTTGAGTTACAACTGTTCCTAATTAACCTTTCTCAGTTTTAAATGTAAGCTCCATTCTCTTCAGTAGCTGGAGGCCTTGTTCTAACAAATGAGGTGGTAAATCTAGACTGGATCACATGGGAGCACTGGTGAAGTATGCACAGGAGAGAAAAAATGTCATCTAGAAAACTAAGTAAAAGGTAGTGGTCTAACAGCCTGCTCCCTGACTTGCTTTTGGCTATGCGTAAAAGGTATTGGATTTATCTGAGCAGAAGGTGTGGTGGTAGGACTCCATCAGGTGAGTCCTCGCCTATAGCCTGAAGTGGTATAGTCCGCATACAGGTTCACTCCTTTCTCTGCATCTGGAAAACAGTCCTGGTTCAGGCTGTCTTACTGAAAATATTCTTGTCAGTAGGAGTTGATTCTCTCTACAAAAGTCCCAGCACTACTTTGTCTTCTGCCCTGATTGTGCAGGCTTCAGGGTCAATTTTGCAATTATATCTTAGCTCATTTACAAACTTCTGATCATTGCTCTACAAAATACTTAAAGCTTTCATCTATACAGCTGAGACTTCGGGTGATATTATATTGGTAATTTTCAAAATTTGAGGGAAAATGATAATGAGCAGAGATTTTTCCCATGGAAGGTGAACCTTTGGATCTTAAATTCATTTGTTTTAATATCTCTAATGCAAGTAGGCAGATATTAATGAAAGTTTCATTTAGAAGTTGGGATCTTTATATCAAGTGTCTGGAAAATCTGAAATAATATACTTGCAGAAATTCTCTTTAGTGGAAATTACATCTGGTAATTATTGATAGCAACTTTTGTACAAGACACAAATAGATTATCAAAATTGACAAAAAGCCAATAAAATGTCTGTCTACACAAAATGGAAGTGCACACAAAATCACTGACAATTGCAATAGTCTGTACTCGTAAAGCAAATAGCAGGTGGCAGCAAAGTAAATGAAATTTTCTGTGAACTCAATTTACTTGAAATGCATTTTTAAAATGTCTTTTTCACCCTTAAAGCATTTTGCATCTGTCCACTTATCACCAATCCTGATATTTGTCTTCTCCAGTATTAGTCAGTATGATTTATGGGATTGGCTGTTAGGTTCATTGGATTGTGTAAAGGAGCTATATAATCAAGCCATTAGGATGTGGCCCTCCAGGAGTTGAACATTCCCTTTTGAATGGCCCTATCATACAAATTGTGTTAATAAGAATGACACCATATAACACATGTGTAGCTGGCTAATAATCATTAAGAGCATCTCCGCAGATTTCAGCTTCTATTACACTAAAATTTGCTTAGGTATTGCATCACAGTAATTTACCTTTCCAGTTTGCTTCATTTTTTAAAATTATATTACACAATTCTCCTTAATTAAACATGCACAGATATGAAACTAGGAAGGAATGTGGCCAGAACTTTTTTGGATTACTACAGACTAAATACCATTACCGAAAGACCTTTAGCACCAATCTCAAGTACATGGTAAGTTTGCTTGCTTGTCTGTTTTAATCTATCACTCTGCTTTTAAATTTTCTTCACCATATGCATCATCACCATCACCATCATCTGATTACAAAGTTACAATTGCACAGCCATTCTGGTTTAGCTTGGAATTCTTTGGAACTTGGTCATTGTATGGACTTCCTGAATCCTTGTGGTTCCCATGGTCCTAAAGCAATTCCTTGTGCAGAGTGGAAAGAATCAGCATGTGTGAGATTGCTCTTTGCTTTTCAGATGAATTTTGGAAAATTCAAGTTGTCAAGAAGCACTTTGAGAATTGATTTAGGGAGCAAAGATTTTCTCAGTGTATTAAATTTTAGAGCTCTGTAGAATTCTCTTAGGAAAAGTTTCCAGTATTATAAAAACTTTTTTTTTTAACTTAAGAGTTGCTACATGAAAAGTAAGATACATCACTCAAATACCCATTTGCCCAGTTCCCCTCTCTGTCTCCTTAACTATTAATCATTGTTCTTAAACTTTCCATGTTAAGTTTGGATAGTTACATGATAGAGTTGAGGGCAAAAGTTAGGATCTCATGCATTAATGAAAAGCATTACTGACAAATAAAAGCATTACTGGAAAGTGCTAGATGTACTATGCAGTAGGAATGGCTGTGTTTGGTAACTTTCTAATTAAGTAGCAGAAATCTCAAGGCATTTTTCTGCTAAAGCAACAACAAGAATTTCTGCTGGGTACAAAAGGAACCCTCAGTCACATTGTTTATAGAATTAACACCAAACTAATGACCCTCTTTGAACCAAACATTGCTCTAAGAGCAGATACAGTAGCAGATGGCAGGAATATTTCTGGGCAGTGTATACACTAGGCATATGGTGAGATACCTGCTAAAAAGATGGTAACATTCCCCCCTCCCCGAAATTCCTCTTTTTAATGAAGAAGACCACTTGGTGGACTGCATCATCCGTACTGCTCTCTGATAATTATATGTACAAATAAGAATGAGTGTAGGCAATGTATGGTTTGTTTCAAATTAATCCATGCTTTTCTGTGAAACTTGACACTCAAGGCAGCTTACCAAAAAACTATAAAATGATAACAATGCCCCAAAAATAGATTATTAAAGGGTGGTGGGGGGAGGAAGCATGATGTAGGCCACAGGGCCCACCATCTGCCTGAGAAATGACTGAACACATGATGGGTCCTACATCCATCTTCCCCTTTCCCCTCAGTCTCCCACAGGCATCCCAGTAGTGGAGGCTGATGGTACCATGTTATTTGGACAGTCCATTCAGTCTGGATTTTAATCTGAATTTATAAGGAGCAGTCTATGCTGCTGAAACTAATTCTTTGGGTAGAGTTCAGCACCATGGATAGTTCCTTTGAAATTCAGACTGCAGCCTCCCCACAGATATTGGTACCCCAAGGGACACTGTGGGAGGAACAACTACTGTCTGCTGCTGTGCCAAACCCCCAAAAAGGGCATGGCGAGGGGAGGGCAGGAGGTCCTCTAATAGCTGCCCCCAGGTGCCACAGGGGCACTTTGGGAATGGCTATCAGTGGAGCTCATCCACTGCCTTCGTGTCTTTCCCAGGACTTACAGGCAGGCTGTGACATTTTTGTATGTCTTACTTTGAACTACCTCCCAGCCTAAAATTATCATGGAAGTATCATGGACTGGAGAGTTTGGCAGAACTGCTCTTGTTCATATATCTCTGAACTTACAGGAAAATACTTATATACATCTGGTAATGAATCCATATGTAGACTGCTACTGTAGGAATGACCTTGCAACTCAGATTGGAATTCTGAAATAATTCAGTGATTATAACCAGTTTTCTTTCTTACATTGATCTCATTGATTCCTGTGTATGTCCCTTCCCCCTACCCCTTTCTGCTTTAGCTTCTGAAACATGGATTTTGGGAGGATCTCTTTTGAAAAATAATGTAAGCTACATTACACCATAGCTTTGCTGTAAGGATACCATGGCAGGCCCAGAAATACAACCTGCCTGTGAAATGCTCCAGTTAATTGGAAAACAGGCTTTCTAAACCATTTAATAAATCCAATTTAATTAAATGTCACATCAGACTGAGAGTATTTTCATAAAAAACCCAGTCATCCATTTCTGATGAGAAGGCAGTTGATTCAGGTTCAAGATGAACATTTCACTGATATGCCACAAATATTTTAAAAACTCTTTATGTGAGAGAGAAAGGGAGATGTTTTGACCCTGGTCAGTATGAAGTGCCACTGACATGTGAGATCAAGGAAAAGGTTTCATTTTATTTCTGTGACCCTGAAATCTGAAATTCATTCCCCAGAATCACAATAAGTGTTCCAGTGAAAGAGATGTGTATTTTCCTGTGGAACTGTCATGGGTAGCTGTTGTACCCATCTGTTGTAGAGCTGGAAGACATCTCAGCAGTCACCTGGCCCAATGCCTTGCCAGTGCAGAAAACCTGTTGGTGCAGCACCTCTGATCAATAGCCGCCCTGCCTCTGTGTGAACCGCATAATGAAGGAGCGTTTGCCACCTTCTGAGGCAGTCCTTTCTGCCATCACACAGCCATCTATGGTAGGATGGTGAGGCACAGGCTGCAGTTCCACTGCCATAGTTCAGGGGTGCTGAACCTTTCTCAGTCTGAGGACCTCATTCCAGCAGTGGTGAGGGCAAAGGTAAAAGGGGGTAGGGCCCACATACCAGGAAATCCAACATACTTTAGTTTAAAAGTTCTTGCTGCCAGTAATGAAGCCTTTGGAGAGGCAATTCTATCTTTTAGAATTGGGCAACTAAAGCAAAGAAGCCACCAAACAAATGGCAGCTGGGGAGGAAAGGTGGGGCCAACAGAAGAGAGCATGGGGCTTCAGGTAGGCCAGATCTGGCATTAAAACCTAAGGTTTATAGGTAAACTGCAAGTTTTCTTTGCTTTACCATACAGGTGCTTTACCAAAAAGCCTAAGATAACCTCCTCCTTCAAAGCACTACAAGAGCTTCTAAAAGAAATATTTTTGAAAGATATGAATTCTATGTCAAGACCTCACGCCTCCATTCTTTGACATCTTAAACTATTTAAACTTAGTTTGAGCATTTTAAGGATGTTTATGAGCGCCTTCCCCCCTGGAAGGCTGTACCCATTGCTGTGACACTTCTCAGGTGTGCTTTTGTTACATCTCTGCAGCAATAGCCCTCCACTGGCAGTAGCAAAGCCAGTGCCGTGCCACCATTGCACTGTAGAAGCAGCTCCCTTTGCCTGCAACAACCAGACAGACAACCACAACTCGGTAGAGATATGTGGGCCCATCAATGGTACTGGCCTGAGATCCTGTCCAAGCTGGACACTGGCCCTAATCTTTATGCTGTCCTTCTCCATTGAGAAGTTAGTCCCAGTAATTTCAGTTGACTTTCCCTGCAGGACCTATGCCTAGAATCCTAATCCTCATGGTGCATGTGTGCGTGGGTTTTGTATTTTGGGAGTAAGTGAAACCACTGGGAAACTGGGAGTAAACCTCATTGAAATCAGTGAGACTTACTTCTGAGCAGACATGTATAGGATTGCACTGTTGGCCTCCCTTGCATCTTTGCATTTTCCTATAGTGTGGATTGACACGCAGTTGGAAGCCCACAAGGCATTGCAATAGGTCAGTGTGCCTCGGGGCATGGGAGAGATGCTGAATCCCAGACAACTTAAGTCTGATTCTGTAGAGCAGTAAATTGCATGAGGAATGGAATAGCTATTACAGTTTAAAGGCAAATTATATGTTTTGCCGTAGAAATTAATTTTTGTTTTCCCCCTTGTCTATTGATAATTATAATCTGTCAGTTTTACTCCTACATGCGTCTGCACATTTAAATGCAGATCTCAAAGCTGCTAGCGGCGGCTGAGGGAGGGGGAACCTTTCAGTTTTAAACTGTGACACATTTGCGTGGGCTCAGTGAAAAGGATCCATTTACAGAATTCAGAGAGATTTGCATTGCTTGGACAGCCTCCAGCAGAGGGCTCACCAAATACCCCATTACAACAATTATCCTGTCAAAGTCTTAGAAATCAAAATGCTGCCTCGAACAATGCAATCCCATATTTTGAGCACAGGCTGCATGGATGCAAACACACAAAGCTAGACTGTGCCTGTTGGCAGAACTTGGAGGGAGACAAAATGCTGAATGGTTAACTTCCTCATCTTTTAGGAGACCCACCCTGCACTGTTCTGAATGATGCACGGCCCCGGTGCTACAACCACCCCTGTCCTGCTATCCCTTGATTCATATGAGGTCAATCTCTTTGGCTGGCAAGCAACTGAATTACTGCCTTGCCCTCCACAACAAGGATGGGCAGAAAGTGGATTGGCTGGTATCCATTGGTAGGTCTCTGGGTGAAAGACGACCCGTTTGGGTGGCAAAGTGTCCTCTTTTACAGATGGCAAGCCTTGATCTGAAGAGCCGCCAAAGGACTCTGTTTTGAATTTACTCTGTTTGAAGATCTTTCCTGTCCAGGTCCAGATTAATGATAAAGAACCATCAAAATGAAGACCTAGGGCATGATGGTGCCCATCAACATCACCATCAATCTGGGTAACAATCTGGGTAACAGACTGAGCAAGGCATGCAAGTCCCATGGGCACCTTCTTCCACTCAATAACCTAGTTGAATATAATGATAGCCCATGGTTTAAAGAAGCCATGGGCTGTTGTGCGTGAGTGAGAGAGGGCAGGTACACACCTGTAAGCTCACCATTTTCATTAAAAGTTGTGATTGGCCCATTCATAGCTGTGAGGTTCTGAGGCAGCACCAGGGCTCCCTCTTCTGGCCAGAGACCAGAATAGCAGCCCTGGTGATTGCTGGACCAGGTCCACAGTCAATCGCAGCCACCTGGGATTTTACGAGCACCACCTGGGGTCTTGAGGGAAGAGCTATATAAGAACCAGCTCTTCCCTTCAGATGCTGCCTCAGCACTAGAGGTGTGTGGTGTTGTTGGAGCTCTTTGTGCCTTCTGGAACCCACTCCTGGAAACTGCCCGTTGCCTTTCTCCTGCCTCTGCTTCTAGACCATATCTGGCTTCACCTGCTTCAGTCCCAGGTATCTGCTTCTCCTTGCCTTGTTTCTCTGGCTTTTGACTCCTGACTGGTGTTGACTGCTCTGCTCTATTTGGTCTGGCCTACCTTGCACTCCTGTTACTCACCTTGATCTCTGGACTGCCTATGATTTGGAATGGGCCTGTATATTGTATTGGTTGTCTGGGTCCTGGTGCCCTGACCTGATTCCCAGCCACCTGTGCCCTGGACACTGACAGTAGCTTGTTGTGAATCTGGAGCACTGGCATTTAGAGCTAAACAACCCAGTCGTTAATCCATGGATTAGGAGAGCAATTTCCATTTTTGCTTCCTTGACACACAAGTTACAAAGCACACTGTACAGTCCTTGAGATATGCCCTGAAAGACTCACAATTGTTGCTTTCTTGCTGAAACTGGATGCTCTGCCATATTGTCACAGAGCACAGCAATGCTAAATGTAGCTTCTAACACTTTTGATGCTCTGTAGTGGCTGCAGGGCACTGAAAAGGGTATAAACTGAGCTTGCAAACAAACTGCATTGAGCTGTTTGAGTGCTTCATAGGGATCAACACCATTTGTTTTAGGTTTGGCTGCTTGCTCTGGTGTGGGGGGGGATAGAGGGGGCTGCCATGGGAAGCAGTGGGGACTGCATGTGGCCCACCTCTGCTGTGGTGCCATTCCCCTTGGGCCATTGTGCAGGAAATAGCACCAAGAGGGTGCTGTGTCTGCAGCGCTGGCCCCACTTGTAGTGGGGGCAAAGTTTCTCCTCCCTTGTATTAGAAAAGGATGGGGGAGGGCAGAACCATCTACTGCTTCATCCTGAAAATTGGCAACCCTCCCAAGAAGCAATGCATGGAATTCTCTCTCTCTCTCTCTCTCTTCCATCTCCCCCACCCCCCAACAGTTACTGAAAATGGCAGTCACCCTTTCATGGAGTACAGTTCATCCCGAGCATGTGATGGGAGGGTGAATTTGATTCTGTTTAGGCTTCATGGCTGACAAATCTCTTTTCTGCTAATTTGTGAAGTTGACACCTGTTCAGAACAGGAATTTGAGAGGCAATGAATGATGATGAGCAGAGGAGTTTCTAGATCAAATTAGGGGGAACTGTGCAGTGGCCATGAGAACTGCCCAAATTGCCCTGCAGCACCTCATACAGGATTATCACTTGAGGCATCGCCTTCAGAGATGTCAGCTGGCATCCAGTGTAAAGACCAGTATTAGAAGAGCCATACAACTGCACAGTGTTCTCCCATCCAGGGGAAAGTTACTCTTAAGTGTTGTCCCTGGACATTCTGATCACTTGGAGAAGCAAGGCACAACTGGAGTGGAACTGATGGACTTTTCCATCAAACTGGGAGCTCTGCATGTTAGGCTTGGCCAGGCTTAGGCAACTCACAGCCTGTGAACCGTGGGCAACCCATGAGCCTCAGATCCTCTGCCTCCTGCTACTGCCAGAGCTGTCAAATCTCCTTCTGTGGTGGAGGTGGGGCGGGGCAGGAATGTGGCAGCCAGACTTTTTTCCTTTGCCGTCATGAAGTTGAATTTCAGTGGCACAGCAGGCATAGGGGCCTGGCTTATGGAGGGTTCAGGAGGGTGGATATTGGCCCCTTGATGCACAGAAGTTGCCTACCCTTGTCCTAGACATAGGTTTCACTATATCCATTTGGATATAGGAGTGTGTGGAACAGATTTGGGTTCGATCCAGTTTTAGGTGCCTGCAACTGGATGTGCAGCAGCAGGTTTTCCCCTCTCCCTCCCCCATATTATCAAGCATCAGCAGGGGAATAGGGTGAGGTGGGGAAAGGGGGAAGCACTTTCCATGAGAGCAGTTCTTTTGTCTATGCAAGGCAGATCCTATATCCAACCTTCAATTGTGTTGTAACTCACTAGCTACTCATTTCCCACCAAAATCAAATCATACTTGAAGGTTCCATCAGCCATTTTCAGGAATTCATAGGAAAACTTATGAATACTGATGTGGGCACAGCTTCTTCCATTGACCAGCGAGGAGCTCATGCAGACTCATTTTCACACCACTCCTCCTCCTCTGAATCATATTTGGCACCTCAAAATGTGAATGCTATGCTTTTTTGCAATGTCTATTATCCAGTGAAGGCTGTTGTGGGTGTTTGAACAGGGTTTTGTTTGAATGCTTATAATCAGGATCAAGATGCTCACTTTGTTCCTACTCTCACCACTGCTTCCCCCTTCCCATGGGCCAGCAACTTATCTCTGGACACAGCAGGGAGAAAGAAGCCAGCAGGCACTCTCCAGTTTCTGAATCCCTGGCAGAAAATAGATGTGCACCGTACGTTTGCACCCATTGTGGGTAGGATAGGATGCTCTGGCACAAGTTATATCACGGGGCTCATTGAGCGGGGAAGAGGAAGGTGGAGGTAGAGGGCATTTTTGGATCATTCTGTTTGAACGCTTGCAGAGGCTCAGCCAATTTAGAATTGATCAATGGGACACTAGTATGGCAAAATGAAACTTTTATCCAAGGCAGGTCAAATAGTACCTTGCCTAGTTTGCTGGAGGACTGTGGGAAAACTATCTTATTCTGAAGTAATGACAGAACTGGGGAGTTTGTTTAAATGTGTTCAGGTGTTCAAATCATGCATTCAATCAATGTACATAGGAGGTGGTGGTAAGCTGTTACCTGCTATATGCATATTCACTGAATGCCTGGTCAGGGCCCCACATGTTGCTGTATACACAAAGCTCTCTGTCCAAACAATAAAAGGCCCATGCAGTGGCACACCGCTGATTGCCAGAAGTGCAGTCCGTCTGTCAAACAGTGTGGCTCTGAGATTCTGTCCTAGGGTTTCCATCTAATATATGTAGCCCATTCATCACTGAAAGATATTTTACCAATCTATCTTTTCTTTTTCACTGGTTGGCAGGAAGGAAAAAGCTTCCACCTATAGATGTGCCTACCATCGAAGCCAGGGGAATAACCAAACTGTCAGCAAGCCAGAAAAAAGAACCCAGATGACTCTTAAGG